TTTAATCTTGCAATACTGAAACCTGACACCCATTAGACAACAACTTCCCATTTCCAGTTCCTCCCAGCCCGTGGCAACCACCTTTCTACTTTCTGTGTCTATGAATTTGACTAGTCCAGGTACTTCATATAAGTGGAATCATATAGCATTTGTCTCTCTGTGACTGGCTGGCTTATTTCAATTAGCATGTCCCCGAGGTTCGTTCATATTGCAGCATGTGTCAGAATTTCCCTCGGTTTTAAGGCTGAGTAATGTCCCATGCTATGCGTATTACCACATTTCATTTCTCCACTCGTCCACTGATGGACACCCGGGTTGCCTCCGTGTTTGGGCTACTGTGAGTAGTGCTCCTATGTACACGGGTGTGCAAATATCTGTTCAAGTCCCTGTTTTCAATTCCCTTGGATATATTCCCAGAAGTGGGATTGCTGATCATATGGTAGCTCTATTTTTAATTTTTTGAGGAACCTTGTGAATCACTTTTAAAAAGCAAATTCAGCAAGGCTGATTTCATTGCCTACCAGACAATAGACAATAGTGTTGACTGGCTGCTAAAAGCTATTCCCCTCTTAGACTACAGTAATATAACTTACTAAGTACACACTTGTGAGTTCCTCTAGTTAACAGAGCTCAGTGTGAATAAATGTATACGCATTTCAAATGTATACCTATTGTATACAGACTTGTGTCTTTAAGCGCTTTGAGGGACAATCTTTATTTATTGACCAAATATTGTTGAGCTCCTGCTCTGTGCAAGGCATCATGCAGAAACCCAAAATATGTCCAGCTTGGTTTCTACTTTCACGACGCTTCTAGTCCCAGAGGGGGCAGCGACATCCTCTGGTGTGTGGTGTGTTAAAAGAGTGGCACAAAAGGAAGGTTCCAGGTGTTCAGGGGAGGCAGGAGTCATGGGGAAAGGCTTCCTGGAGGAGGTGACATTTGGGTGTGATAGGGTATGGGTAGGTGGAGTGGTAGGGTCTAGAGGGTTCCAGGTGGCCGGCATACACTGAGCCAAAGCAGAAAGTGTCCATGAGTTCAGGGCAGGGCACAAGCAATCGAATGGGAGATTTGGAGAGCTCAGTAGAGGCGGCTACGGAAAGCTTTAATGTGGGATGAAGAGCGCCTGTGATAACTTCTGTGGTAAGTGGGATTAAGGGGCCCACAGGGGTTTTGATTAGGGGAGTGACGTCAAAGCAGTGCATTGGGAAGATTAGCCTGGCAGTGACACACGTGGGGTAGACTAAAAGGGAGAGGTCCTGGCAGCTGAGGAATTGATGAGAAAGGAGTTCAAAGGGATACCCCGGAACGATAAGTGAAGTAAGCCAGAGAAAGGCTAATGCCACATGATTTCACTAACATGTGGAATCTAACAAACAAAATAAACAAAATATAAACAGACTCATAGATACAGAGAACAGACTGATGGTTACCAGGGGAAAGAGGGTTGTTGGGGGGCTGGGTGAAAAAGGCGAAGGGACTGAGAAGTACAGATTGGTGGTTGCAAAATAGTCACGGGGATGTAAAGTACAGCACAGGGAATATAGTCAATAATATCGTGATAACTATGTACAGTGCCAGGCGGGTACTGGAAATATCGAGGGACAACTTTGTAAAGTATGATTGTCTAACCACTGTGCTGTACACTTGAAACTAATACAGAATAACATTAAATGTAAACTGTAGTTGAAACATTAAAAGGGGGGGGGGATACACCAGGCCTGAGGTAATGAGGGTTTGAGTTTGGTGGCGAGCTGTGGGAAGCGAGCAGTGGAAAGAAGGGGCCAGACAGAGGACACTGTGAATGACCTAACCTTGGCCGCTTTCCTGTGGATGCCCGATCATACCTTTTCTCCCCTCCCCTCTCTCTTCCTCCTTTAAAAAAAACATTACGGCCCGGCCAGGCGTGGCTCAGCAGTTAAGCACTGACCTAGGATCCAGGCGATCCGGGTTCGATTCCCGGTCAGGGCACAGGCCCGGGTTGCGGGCTCCATCCCCAATGACTCTCTCATCATTGGTGTTTCTATCTCTCTCTCCCTCTGCTGCCCTCTCTCTGAAATCAATAAAGATATATTTAAAAAAAAAAAAAATTAAAAACAAAAAAAAAACATTACGTATCTTATTTTATGCCGACCAGTCTTACTCATTTAGGTTTCCTTCGGGACCTTGCATAGCGGCCTACACTTAGGTGCTTGGTAAATATTTGTTGAATTGCAATTGGTGACGGATTAGAAGCAGGGCAGGGGCCAAAAATAACCAAGGGTTCAGCCTGGGTGATGGAGAGAAGATGCGAGGAGAAGCTGATGGGGTTCGAAGTAAGGTTGAGTTTGAGCTCCTGGCAGGTTAGCCAGCTGACTTGACATCCTGGGATGTAGTGAGTAGAGAGAGGACTTTTAAGGAACATCCCCACCTTCACCTTCGCTTGAGCTACAGAAATAGGGGCTGTGTTTGTCAAATTTTGGCCTGAGGTCATATTCTGGTCTGCCACTAGTCAAGTACCAAGTTAGGTAGTCTCTCTTGAGACTCACCTATGAACGTTGGGTAAAGTAGTACTTTGTAAGGTGGTTGTCAAGGCCAAAGGTGAGGCAGTCTTAGTACACCACCTGGGTTAAGTCGTAGCTATAGTTATTATTACTATTAAGGTTAGGGGAAGGAGCGTAGCTCATGGCACTCCCGAGTAAGGCCATCCAGGGCTTCC